CGCTGCCGCGCTCACAACAGCAGCTCCGAGTCCGTGGTGAGGAGGGATGAACCTTCTGCTGTGCCCACCCCATGCCCTGCATTTCTCAGAGCTGTGATCCTCCTCCACGTGTCCAGCTAACTCAGCAGCCTCTGCAGGCCCTCAGAGCACAGTGAGCGCTGCACTGTGACCTCCTCCCTCCCTCCTTTAGCCCAGCAGCACCGGTGAGCGGTGCCCCACGTTAAACTGTGCCAACCTGCAGCATGAGTCAAGTCGAAGAATCTCTCTAGTGGGTTTGAGTTACATAAGTTAGAGAAAAATGTGCCTAATTAATACCATACTCAATTCTTTAGATTCTTGTCTCTCCATCATTCTGCCATATTTCCTGGCCAATGAAAATGCTCATTGTTTGTAATGTGTTTATTTATGGTAAAAATCAGAACTGTGTATTTTGTAAGTCTGTAATTGTTCTTGTCAGATGTTGTTAACTTGATGCCTGTTTTGTCTGTTTAATTTTTCTTTTCCTTTTTTTTTTAAAGAAAGGTCAATATTTGCAAACCTAGCTCCCAGAAGTCAGAGTCTGCTGTTCAACTCTGCAACGTCATTGTTATGCAAACTCCCACAGACCCTCAAATTCAAGGAGTGTTACTGACACTTTTAAAAATGGAAAACCACTTGATAAAGGCCTAAATTTGGCATAAAGAGCCTCACTTTAAGTACCCAAGTTTCAAATGGTGGCCAAAAAGAATGAATTCAAACCTTGGTTAGCAAAAAAGAAAGATTTGCCTTACCATAGTGAGAGTTAGAAGCCATACTGACTGAATTCCCTAGATTAGGAGACACCCTGTGACAGTGGAAGGAAGACACTGGCTCATTCCAGCTCAAGTGTGAGTGAGCACTAACTGTCTGCAGAGCTCAGAAATCCAGTGTTTGTTGATGCTGTAGCTGACCAAAGTCTGGTCATCCAGGGATATCTGAATTCAGTAGCATGTACAAAGTCCTTCTTGCACTATATCTTCCCCCCAGACCAGGGGCAACATTTAATTTCATAAAGAAACTTGTAAAAGTGACTCTCAGCCTGTGTTTGTCTCCAGCCCGTCTATCTGTGTGAAGCTGTTTCTTTCCAAAGCCACTGTGGGGATTGTTCTCCTGCAGCTCCACCAGGGGCTGCTCAGCCACAGGGGCCCTGCCAGGAGGGGACCCCAGAGCAGCCATCCCAGCTGTGGGGACACAGGGACAGAGCAGAGGGGTCACTGGGTCAATGCTGGGGGCAGAGGGGGGCAAAAGGAGAAAAAATTAAAATATTCTCTAAGAAGTCACTGAGATGAGGCAGTTACAGCAGTATTAGCACAACACACACACAGACACCAAGAGACACAGACATGGGAACACTGAAGGACACCCAGAGACACACTGAGGCACTGCCAGGTGTGCACAGACACCCACGGGGGGAGATGGTGACCAAGAGACCCTGACACACAGACACACACAGAGCTATGTCAGCCAGCTGCAGCCAGCACCACCCAGCACCAGAAGGCAATTGTCATTTCTGTGTTTACCCTAAGTGTCTGCACCCTCCTTTCCTTATCCATGGCATGTCTGTTTTGATTGGCCAGGAAGAAAAGCTGTTGGCACTGATGTTATCAATTTTCTGAGCTTATCATCAGCTTTGTAGTAAGTGGAGGGGGGTAGAGGGGCAGAGGACAATCCCTCCCCAGCACAGATCCAGGATCACACCCCACACTGAGCATGGCCAGCTGTGACAGGTTGCTCATAGTCCTGTCCAGTTGCTATCTGAGTTCACTCAAGGATGGAGATTCTCCTCAAAGCTCTTTGTATCCCTCTCAAAAGCACTCTGTCCCCAGTGTGAAGGAAGTGCTGACATTTGTTCAGAGCTCCCCTTGCTGCAATGTCTGATGTGGTCTTAGGCAGAATGTTGCTTAATACACTCAGCATTACATCTACAATGAAGGCACTCTGGTAGAAATCCTAACCTCCTCTCCCAAGGGAAATGGGGTGACAGTGGCACAGGACCTGGAGTGCAGCAGCTGTGAAGTGCCACAACCCTGCCCTTCCTCCCCTCTGAAACACACACAGGAATTGGCTGTTACTACTTGCCTGTGTAGCAATACTCTGAACAGTCAATATGCATCCAGTGGTTAAAATAATCATCATTTATCAGCTCTTCCAGAATTGGCTGCACCTCTGACCAGTGCACACAAAGGATTTACAGAGACACTTTTTTTACAGACATTTCTCAAGTGCCAAACCAGACTTCTCTGGCCAGACAGCATCCCAGTCAATGGGCAGTTAATAACTTCTGGAAGAATTCTACTCTCCACTGGACTATCAGTACTCTTTCTAAGTGTCCTCACTTTGGATTCTAGTCTTGCACACCACATCTGGAGCTAGGATCCAATTCCCTATGCAAGACTGAGATCAGGTAAAAAAGCTGCTCACACAAAGTGCTGGAGTTACAGCAGCAGCACAGAAAACAGGTAAGGCTCAAACCCACAAACCCACTGTGCTCAACATGCTCACCCCACAGACTGCTCTGAAGAGGATTCATCACAAAATACTATCCTTACTTTAACAGCAGCACCACCTCCCAACTCTCACCATAACCCTGGGTGCTTCCTAAACAAACTGTCACAGATCAGGTGTAACCTCCTCATGTTTAAGTGATCAGACACTCAGAGTCATCTCATCCCCCAAGTTACTCATTAAATGGCAAAGTGTAGCTGTGTGAGAGATGGTAACAGATTAACCCAGCCCACAAAATTTCCTGCTGCACCTGCATTTGGGCTGGAGTGGCTCCCACAGCTCGGGCAATGGGCAGCACTGGGGTGAACCCTCAGTTCAGCTGGGCTGTGCACAGAGGGCAGATCCCAAGGGCATCAGCTAAACCTGGGAGAATGGGGCTCCTGGCTGGCCAAGAACAGCTCTGACAAGATCTCTGGGCTAAATGGACAAGAAGTGCCAGTTCCACAAGAAGTGTCCAATTGAACCATGAAGAATCAGAGCTGTGAGATATCAGGAACTTTTCTCTGGAGCTGAACCTTTAACAGGGGCCAGAAATGCAGATTTGTGTACAAAACAAACTGAAGCTCCTGATGTGAGTCTGAACAACACCAACCCTTCTGGATTTTAGGGTAGAATCAGCTGAATTGCTCAGGAAAACAGTTCTGCATTGAGGTACATGAAAAGGACAAAGGGATTGAGTCAGGGGTGGTTTGGGGTGTTTTTTAAAGGTGTTGGTTCTACCTGTTCCTCTCCTTCTGTAGATATCCATTTAGGAAGCTTCTTGTGAAAACAGCCATGATTCTTGATTACCTAAATCTGCCCAGATTTCATTTGGTCAAATAAAACACAGAATTATGTAAAGGATGTCAATCAAATGAAAGACGATTTCCTGAAGCTACCAGTTAAGTGAACCAGTGGCTACTAAATAACATAGTCTGTGCTCTGACCAAAAAAAAAAAAAAAAAAAAAGGAAAAAAAAATCTATTTAAAACTATTAGTTTAGAAGTTTAGAATATCTGATTCAGACACTGTGGGTGTATACACTGTTCAAGTTCTAATAGCATCAGAACCAGCACAAATTGTCTTTGTGCTAACTTCAAGTGAGAACAGGTCAGTTCCCATGGAGAGAAGAGTTCCCCCAAGGCAGCCTTTACTGTCTCTCCTGTTCTGCCCATTCCCTGAAGGACAGGGGGGTGTCAGCTCAGAGGAGCCCCCTCTGTGTCCAGCAGAGTCCTTGGCTCACCACTGCACTGCAGGAGATTCCCACTGTGCAGGACACTGCTCTGCCATCCAGGAGCCAACCATCTGCACCTGGGTGTCCCAAGAGCTTCCCAAAACCTCCTGAAAACCAGGTCACAACAGGGATAACTCAGAATCCAGGCACCTGCCAGTAATAAAAGAATCTCAGCTTCACACTGAGAACACTTCATTTCTTGGGATGCCAGAATGGCAGAAATTAGCTTTTCTTTAAATGGAGAGGCCTTTCACCTGATGTGTCAAAATATCAGGCTGTGCTCCTCCAGATTGACTGCAGTGAAGCACACCTTCATGTAACAGCATCATTGAAGAAGTCTGTGGCAAGACTGATATGCAAACATCAGTGTTTTGAACAAGTTTGCAGCACTCCCCTCCCAGACTCTGAGCTGGCAGCCCCTGGCAGGTGGGGCAGCATCCAGCAAGTGCTGATTCCTTCTTCATTGTTACTGCTTCAGTTGTTTTAATTCTCCTACTGAGTTCCACCATGTACCTGCTCATGAGGGTTATGGGCATTGCAAAGCCCACCTGACAGTGAGTATGGTACAACAGCAACTGCTCAAGCTTTAAGGAGGGAACTGCTCACACCTCATTAAATGCTGGAGCCTCAGCCTGTGCCTGCTGTGCTGCTCACGTTCTCTACCACAGGGGGAGGACTCACCACTTCTACTGTCAGCAGCAGCACCACACTGGTACAACACAAAGCATCAGCCACAATGTCCTGTACCAGCCACCACAGGAACTCCTGTCCAGAGCTCCCAGCCCAAGCAAAGCTGAGGCTCAGGTTTTCAGGTAAGTAATGGGTTAAAGAACTTTGATAGTGGATAAAAACGAACTGAAAAAAGCACAAGTGTTTTCAGCTGATTTTAAGCCCCTGAAGACACAGTGGTGCTCTTTCAGCTGGACAGTGTGGGGAGGAATCAATCTTCAGGCTGCAGTGCCCCACCAGTGCAGCTGCTGTCAGTGAGGCAGTGCAAGGTGCAGCCAGCAGTGTGAGCTGGCAGAATCCAGAAATGCCTCCAGGGACCACAGCTCAGGGCAGCAGCGTGGAGTCTCCTCCTTTCCAGTGCCAGGCTGCAGGCTCTGCAGAAGCCAAGGTGCTCCTTCCCAGCCTCACAGCAATCCAGCTGCCCTGCCTTGCCATGAACACCTCACACCTTATTTCTCCCATGTGTCTCACACATGTCCTTAGCAAGCTCCATGACTCAAATCCCATGGCTTTGGCAGTGCTGGCACTTCTAGGAAAAATGCAGGCTGCTTGTTCTTTTTGCTCAACGCTCCTGGCATCTTTCCCCCTGCAACTACACCCCTCCTCTCCCCACGTCCTGAGCTTCTCTTTGCACAACTTTGCTACCAAAGCAGCTCCCTGTTCACAGCCTGTGCAAATGAAATACCTGTGCTACTGACCCCAGAGCAGTGTACCTTTGTGTGTGACTGCCTACGTTTACACTTGTGAGATGGGAAATAAACAAGCTATCAACTTGAAGTCTTGCATGGTTCTGTAATCCTCCCAAAAAGCATTAACCACTGATTATAAAGCAGCTATGGAACAGCATTCTGCTTACAAGCTCCTTCTATTCTTCCACACCTACTTCTTTCCCTTTTCTCCTAAGCAGCACCCACCCATTACCCAGGCTGGATAATAATTTATGGCTTTTTTCTTTAACCTCCAGTAACCTGAAATAATATACTTGCTATCTATATCACACCATCAAGAAAAACCTTATCCCCAAATACAGCCACGAGTTCACTGAAGCTGAGGGAGCTGCATTTGAGCTCAGCTGGGCACTTCACATGATTACAATTCCTATAAGGCTGGCAAAAGCAAAACTTGGGGAAGGTGTGCTCCCCTTCCCCTTTCTGAAGCATCAATTTGCCCACATATTTTACCTTTCTTGCCCAGAAAAGAAAAAGTTATTGTGAAACACTACCAAGTAGATTACTATAGCCCAAACATGAATGGCCAGCTGTGGTAATTTAAGCTGCCAGCTGAGCTGCTCCTTGTCAAGTTCCTTCTGTCACATTTGGATTGGAAGGATCTCTTAGCCCACCAAGGACTACAAGTGGGGCTCCTGTACCAACAGTCTCCCCTCTGCATCTGCAATTCTCCCTGGGACACAGCCCAGCTTCCCACAGCTGCCACAGGCTTCTGGCTGCTGTTCAAAATAAACATTACAAACCTAAAGTCATCACATGGCCTCCATTCTATTCTGGATGATAAAGACAGGATAGCTTATAGCCTGATGGATACTAAAATAAAATCCTGGAGAGCACTTAGCCTCCTACACACCAGTCAGACATTTCATCCATGCAATTCAGCAACACTGACAATTTCCTACACAAAAAAATCCCGTCTAAATAAGTACATCATTCCTGATTCCAAGGGAGCTCACCAATGAAACTTTGTGTTACCTGACTTTGTTTACAGCAAGCCACAGAGTTTAGAATCTAAAACAAGATGTTAGAAACAGCAAGGTTTGGTTTTGCCCAGAATTAGTTACAGGAAAACCTGAAACTCAAAATTTCTTGCCTGATTTCTACCAATCACTGCCTGAGCACTGGAGGGGGCTCTGGTTGTTCTCAGGTGTTCAGAGCTGCCCTAAATGAGGGAGTTCTTATCTCCACAGCACGTGGAGCCACCTGTCACTGAGGGAAGGGTAACACACATTAATTACACTGTCACTGCAAAATCCATCTGGCAAGAGGGAGAAGTCAAACCATTACTGACCCACCATTTTGGCAGTTCCATGGATACATTTAGAACCACCAGGGACTGAAGTGCTCAGCACCACGTCCTTGCAGGTGCTGAATCCAGTACAAGGTCAGGTTTCAGAGCAGCAGACTCCCAGGAGAACAGCTACATCAGAACCCTTCTAGCCTGGGAGTGATCAGCACCATTCTGAAGAACAGCTTTTCCCTTTATAGCATCCCAGATTTCAGCAACCCACTGGTGGAGGATTATGAATTTTCATCAGCTGCAGTGCTCTGCAAAAAACTCCCAAACCTACCTACCTGTGACATGAAAGCAATCCCAGGATAACTGACCAACAATCAGCTTGAGGAAAAACATACTGAAAAAAAAAAATCTGTCCATGGCATCCCTTATGCTCAGCTACAATTTTAGAAGCTCAACTACTTAAATCTACCTGTAGCAATAATCCTGACAATGAAACACTATTCCTGCAGATTGATGCAGTCACGTTGCACCTTCCTCTTCCACATGTGCTGCTTTTTTCCAGGAGGTTATCAGGTAAGTTATTGTTATTTTTGGAGACCTACAATAAATGAAAATAGCCAGTTAGTTCAAGCAGCTTAGTTGTTCCCCCGGAGCTTTACAACCACCCACACACTAAAGAAATAGGATAATTACCCACACTTCACACCTACTCAGCTCCTTTCCTTCTGGGGAACACTCAAGACACTGATTTCTAACAGCTTTCTGCTCAGGGCTGTCACCTCTCCAATCAAACAGCGTGGCTTTGGTATGAAGCAAATGCTCAAGTATTGTCAAATTTTACATCCGTTCCATTTCCTTTGTTTTAAGCTATAAAATAAAACCTCTCAAACCCCAGAAATGTCTCAAAAGGGAACAAGGCAGGGCTGAACATCTTTACCACACTCTCAGACAGGACAACTTAGGGCAGCTTTATTCCCCACTGGGGAGCTTTGCCATTGTGTTCTGTTAGGAATCAGAAAACCTTACTGAGTAAAGGCACTCATCCCATTTCAACATTTTGCTTTGCTTCTATCAATCACCAGATTCCATCAGCTTGAAGAGTTTAAATGCACCATACTGTTCTCCAGCACAGAATGTTTTCTGGAAGGATGTCACCGAAGACAGTAGGAAAGAAACCACAATAAGCAACACAAGTCAATCTTTATTGAAAACTGAAGTATTAATACATAACAATTCTTGTTACAATAAACGTGCTTTTAAGAATTTAAACTTGAGCTCATCTACTCATTGAATTGCATAAAAAATAAAAAAAGTATGAATTTTCACAATTGAACTGGCTCAGAATGGAATCTCCACTCTTTGTGTTGATGCGATAGTTCAATGCAGGAGTGAGTGATGCCTTAAAACTTATTCTGGAAGACAACATTGACCTAAACTTAAAAAAAAAAGTACCAATACAACTGTTCCTAAGACAGTTTTAAAAAAAGTCATAAAAAGGAAACCTGTGTCTATTTCATAACAAACATGGAGAACTATTACTGGGGCCTCTTGTACTTCCATTGCATGCACTCACTTTTTTAGATCTTAGGACAGGAGGGCAGCCAATAATAGCATTACAATTAAAAAAAACCCACTAACAAATCCCTTCTACTTAAAACAAGTCTGTACAGCAGCCAGCTAAAAAAGCTTTCCCAGTTTGCCTGCTAAGTGCCCAAAAGTCACAATCGGTTTAGAAAAGTCATGTTCATTTTCTTGATGTTGAAACTTCAGGGCCCATAAATTGTCCAGATGTAAAAGTCACAAATGGACCCTTTACTACGAGTGAAATTCAGATGTTTCAGTGTTCTAAGCAACCTGCACAAGAAAAGGTTTCTTGTCCCCACTGTTCCTCTTCCCTCCCTGGTGCCTACAGCACACCTTGCTGGGCAGAGGCTGCAGAGTGCCCAGAGCCCTCCCAGCAGAGGGGAAGCAGCTCAGCTCTGGGCCAGCCCTGCTCCAGCTGCCCACCCTGCTGCAGTGCTCCTGCCAGGAGCTGGGGCATCTCACCTCCTGTGTGAGGGGCTCTGCAGGAAGCCTCGAGCTGACAAACACAGGATTGGAAGCTGACACTTGTTAATGAGAACAGGGTGAGTGGGCTGAAATGGCCATGTCTTTTACAGCCCTCCCAAAGGCTGCCTCCCAGGGCTGAGGAAGCTGGACTGACACAGGCTGGGGCCGTGTCCTGAGGAGCACTGCACAAACACAGCCCAGGCAGCCATGGAGCAGGCACAGCCACAGGCTCTGTGCCACACCTCCAGCTGCAGCATCACTATTGCTCACCTTCCTAAGATGGGAGGTCTCACACACACAGGAGTGTGGTAACACAGGTCCCACCCCTGGTTTGAGCCTAGAGTTAGGTGGTGGTGTCAGGCTGATGTGCTGACCCACATGAGCAGTGTGGAGCACTGTGCTGAAGCACTGGGGAGTGGTTCCAAGTCCATGCTCTCGCCCTGCTGGCCAAGGAGCAGTGAAGGCAGGACCCTGCAGGAGAGCAGCCCATGCTGAGTGCCCTGGGGCACAGCTCTGAACCATCAGCTCTCCTGACACCAGCCAGACACCCTGCTACTGATGGGTGGTGGTTTGCTTGTTGTTTGGTTAGCTTTATCAGTGGATGGAGCGATACAAGGAAGAACTTCAATGGAAATAAAGGACTTTTTCACCTACAGCTGCATCTAAGCATTTAACTTGCATAGTACACTCAAAATGAAGCTTTCTTGAGCAGCAATCCTGCATGTCTCCTAGAAACTCCTAACAGGAGAGGGTTACAACAAGCATAAGCAACATCTAGCAGTAGGTCGTCTCTTTTCCTTCCCAGTGTTTAGTAAACCACCACCACACTGATAGGGCTATGTGGTTTTGGTGCCAATTATTAGCCATTTTTCTTTCGCTGCTGCTACATTTAAAAGACATTTTCATCAGCTGTTACTGACATAGGGAATACCTTGGTTTTTAAAAAATACTTTATCTAGACGCAACACTTGAAATTTGAATTAAAAAAAATTCTTGGACTTCTCTTAGTTATTGCTGCAACAGTTATTTTCAGTTCCAGGTTTATAGTAGTACTTTTTTTTTTTTTAATTATATAAAGCTGCCATAAAAGTTTTCTTTTTTAAAGAGAAGCTTGATCTGAAATGTCTCTACTGCACCAGCTCTTTTAATTTGCTGAGGAGCTTTAGTGCAAACACATACTGCGTTTTCATTTATAAAGGAATTCTAAATAGGGAATGTTATATAAAAAGCAGGAGAGAATGTTTCGTAAGACCCTCGCTGTGTAAACGCCTATTTAATGATGTACAGTTTCCCCCACTGCAGTTTTATATCCATGCTTTCTACTATTTGCAACAAAATACCATTGAGATAGTTATATATACACATATTCCCCCATCCCCCTGCACTGTGCTTTTGGTTACTTTTCAGAAGAACTCCTGGAGACAAGCTCCAGCCTCCCAGTAGGATCAGAATCGCTCAGGACTGGAAGGTGCAGTACCTTTGGAAAAGGTACACTCTCTCCCTCCTGGATGAATCCCATAATGCAACTCAGAAAAAAAAGTGCTCAAGTAAGTGAGACTGCCTAAGTGTTATGGAATACTACACGGAGCCCAGTTCCAAGCTGACACTGAGGAATCTGAAGTTAGAGCAAATCTATAGGAAGTTATATTAATTCCTTGACTATTCTCTATTGCAGCATTCACGGAAGTTCTCTCCTATGACTTTATTCATGATGATGAGACAGGAGACAGCAAAACTTCCAGCCTGGCCCTCACAGCTCCTCCCCACAGAGCACAGCTCTGCTCCAGCCCTCAGCTCCTGCTCGGGACGAGCGCCCTGCGTTGGTGCTCACTGTGCTCTGCCACACCTGACTGATCACAGCTGCAAATCTAACACACACATGGAATTGTTACACACACTGAACAAAGCAGTACACATTCAACTAAGGTTGTCTTGGATCATTTCTGCTCCATATAAAAACATATGGAAATCCCTAAGCTGCAGTAAGTGCTCATGAGTAAGGTTGAAAGTACTTATTCCAACAACATCGTTATGTTCAAGGCATTAGAAATAAGGGGGCCATCCACTGACAGTGATTCATGCAAAATAAACCTAAACTTTATTTAAAAAAAAAAAAGGGTACAAAATACAGAGAGTGCTTACTGTAAAAAATAAAGTTACTGAAGGCTCTAACCACCAATTGGGTATGAAGGTACACAAGCCTCTCACCAGGGCAGAGTACTGGGATGGCAGCACTAAATCAGCACTGATGCTACCCCAAATCAGCTGCCAAACCTGTACAGGAGCAGAACACCCCAAAACAAAGCATAACTAAGATACACAACTTCAAAAAATTTAATTCTGAATGGAAGTTAACCTACGAGAACAAGACAGCCTGATATACCTCTGTGTAAATGCTTAAAAGGGAACAACATTTTATATCCATTTACTGCATAATTTATTGCAGGCAGAATGTATAAAAAAAAATTGCATCTTTCTGGAATTGTAAATCAAGCAGGTTTAAGAAGAACCTCGGTTTTAATGTGCAATATTCAAATTTAAAAATTTAAAATCTCTCCCATAACAATTTTGGTATACAAATGGGTTCCAAGGCTAGCCCTTTATCCCCACAGCATTTGCTTTGAGGTACTTTAAAAATTGAAGTTGCAAGAAAGAATATCACAAATGACTCATTGCAATGAAATGCTAATCTGCAGTCGAGTCTTATTTTACGTGCTTCCAAGTGCAATTTAGGAAGTAAAAAAAAAAAAAAAGAAAATACTAAGAAAACACATCAAAAGGCTGTAACCAACAAATGGCTCCTACTTCAATTACAAATATTTTCATGAAAAAAACCCAAAATGAAACTGCTATTTAAACCCTCTATATTCTGGCAGCCCTACTACACAGTATCCATAGTCCATACTGCAAGTAGATAATAAGGAAATTGTGTTAAAATGATTTGTTCCCCTTTAACATACTCATCAGGCACACAAGCTTTCCTCAGAATAACATGCAGCTGAACTCTGTTGCAGAAAGCCCTTGCACCTCTTAAGTTTCTGGAAAGCAAGCTGGATCAACTGCACATATGTTTTCAACTGACTACAACATTCTTTAGGAAAAACAGCACGAATTTGCTCAACTGAGAACTAAAAGGAAGAGTTTTTCTATCAGTCTGTGTGGCAGTCTCACTTTGACACATCTTGCATTATCTGAAAGATAGCACTGGATAGAAATCTCCCCAGGACATGCTATTCATTCTGCAGGTGATACCACCTCCTACTATTCCTAAGAGCCAGTTTTGCCTCAAGGAAGTATGCCTTATTTACTGGCACACACAGCATTACCTCTGTCATTTAATTCTGATCCTAAAGAGCATCTGTATAACACTGATTCCATACAATGAAAATGAAAAGGTATGAAGTAAACTAATGGTGTGCGGGATGTCTACAGCTTGTCTGACTCATTTTCCAGTCACTCCAATTTATAAGCTGAATTTGAAAAGAACACATCACTAAAACAAAAATATGCCCCTTTGAAACTGGCAACTCCATCAACCTGAAACAGGCTGAAGCACTCATCTAATGTATGTTATGGCATTCTAGAAAGAAACTCACTTCCATGATTCTACCTTGTCAGACCCTGCATACATTACAACAGTGCATTAGTGATACAAGTTGTAAAATACTTCTCGGTTCCTTTGGATTTGCATATGATGGTTTTTGCATCAGTCACTGCAGGTAGATTGAGCAAGCTTTGTTTTTGTGTTTTAACATGCATTCAACTAGATATGGATCAGAATAAATTTATACTCCCTTTTTATCATTATAATTAGCTAAAAAATTGCAAGACAGTCCACAAAACAGGATTTGCTTTAAGACTAACTGCTGGAGTTCCAAGATGTAAGATATGCAGCACTGGAAAATCTTCAGTGATCAGGAATTAGTAGTGTTTAGCCAAGTGTTGAAAGCATTCAGAAGGAAAGTCCTGGTTGGAGGCATGAGGGCTTCAGCACCAACTTTTAAACCTCAATTTCTTGATTGCATATCTCCCATCTTTAAACCTACATTAAGAGGGGGAAAAGAGTGGGAAATACTCTCAATTAGGTGAAATTCCATCTGAGTGTGGCAGAGCACACTAACATTGCATGCACCACATACACCAACAATTGCCAAATTTAAATAACATTGCCTAGCAGTTATCCTGCCACATTTTGAGATAAAAACAATACATGGACTTGCTCTGGTCATGTCCAGTCCAACTTTCTGTCAGGACCACCATTGTTTTTAAGGTAGAAGATGGAATATTAAGAACGTGTTTTGTGCTAAATTTAATTACCAGCAGTCATGAGTTTATTAGCAGCATAATTTTCATTTCTTGTACTTGGGTGGTTTGAGACTCTTGGCTGAAATACTTCATGAGTGAGAAGCATTTCAGATCTGCAGACAGCTGAGTACCATCACAGCAAAATGAGACACGGCTGCTATATTACTAAATCAAAGGAAATTGTCACCCACAATCTCAGAACTCTGCACTTCTAACTGCTGAAACAGAAATCCAGAAAAAGTTAAAACAAAGTTCACTTTTGTCATAAACTAAATGGACTAAAAGTGAAAATTTCAAGTTCAATTGGTCTGACAAGTCACTAATTCAAATAAAGCTGTTTTCAACTTATGCTAAAAATAACCAAACAAACTAGAAATGAAGTGGGTATCACAAAAACATTAGTCCTTGTGTCAGTTTGACACAGATTACACCTCCAAAATCCATCCCACTTCATAGCAGATTTCAAAATTAAACTCTTTTTCTTGAAACCCACTATCTAAATTTTGGTTCACACTAAAAAAGCTTTTTCCATGCTGACTGCATGAAGTATTAACTGATACTTATGTGAAACACAGTGAGTATATGAAATTATCTCAAGGTTATCTCTAATCATCTCATGGTTTCAGCAGCTTCTGACAAATATTCACCCTCTGAGCAAGGCAAAACACCTTGCCTACATATTTAGCCAATCACACAGTTAAATACATTCAATTTAGGAATCACAGTACTGCTGAATTGAACAATTACCAATTATTCCAAGTTACTGAATATATTAAATTCCATATGTATTTTAATAAGGTCAACTTAAGGCTCATTCTTTCACATTTGACAATCACGCATCATGAAAATTATTCATGACTTGTGAAAACACAGACCACTCAAGAAACCCCAGCATGATTTTTGAGTATTCCAGCTCAATTAGAATACTGCAGAAGCACCCCCCATTGCAAAATGTCCCCCAGAGAACCTGAAATGCTGTTGTTTTTAAGAAAGTCTAACAGCTTTCAATGCAACTTACACTGACTGCCAGGATGATCACCACTGTGGGGGCACATAACTATAGGTTGGTGTTCCTGGAGCCCGATACGTGGGCATAGTGACTGGATGAGGGGCTACTGGAGTTGGGGAATGAGTTGTCAACAAAGTACCTGGAATGAAGAGAACAGTTTCTCAGTAAGCAAAAATTCTACTAGAGAGAAAAAAAAAAAAAAAAAAGGAGAGGGGAGTAAAATCGCAGTACTTTTAAAGACAATTACAATTTACTCATCTTCAAAATTACCAGAATTGTTTTGCATTCCAGGCCCAATCTTCTTCAAACCTTTATGCCAGAGGGCCATTGTAGCCCAGTGGATGTTTAGGCTCATGCATACAAAGATATTCAATACTCAAAAATAGCTCTAGCAGAAACCCTGCAACATAAGCAACTCTTCCCACAGCAGGCTTAACATGCCATTAAGAATATTTGATGGTAGAGATAACTTGACTGATAAATCAGAATAAATTAATTCTTGTTTGCATTATTACAGATAGGCTTCTTCCCCACTAATGAAGCTCTGTTAGTGACATCTAACTACTCTAGTTTTGAAGTTTCTCAAATTAAATTGTAACTTTGACAGGATACAAACCAGAATCTCAAAACAAACTTATGGCTCCTGTTTATTAGATTTTTAAATTAGCATCTCTTGAGTGAATGTGGAGTTTTCTTTGTGAGTTACCCAGGGAGTAACAAAGCATGATATCCCCTCAGCAAACACTCAGAGATGACATTGAACTATTGATTAAACACCATTCTCTCCAAAACACTACCACCAAAAGACTGTGGCAATGGGAAGGTGACATCCCCAACCATTTCCCATGACACAGAGGACCTGCAGGCAGTACAAACACACAAAGTGTTGTATCTCAAGACAAGGAAGGTTTGTGATATGAGGGGTGAGCTCAGAACATGGCATTTTCCTCAGCTCTGAGAGGCTGCTGATTTCAATTGGCACAGAGAAACGCAGTGGGAAGACAAAGTCACACTCTTGACACTGGTATAAGGAGAAACAAAGGGTGTAAGAGTAAGAGATATTCCATACAGACATGAAGAAAAACTGCTGTCCCGTAATACTAACTCTGGAAAGAGGATGTGGCACCTCCATCCTTAGAGGCAGTGGGTACTGCTGAACAAGAACAAATCTGACTCAGCTGGACTCACTCAGAAGTGCACTGGTGAGGGCACACTGGGAGTGCTCTGTTCAGCTCTGGCCCCTCAGCTTGGGAAGGACCTTGGGACACTGAGCACATCCAGACGGAGCAGCGAGGCTGGAGAGGGGCTGGGAACACAAACCCTGAGAGGAACCCCTGGGGGAGCTGGGGGTGCTCAGCCTGCAGAAAAGGAGACTCAAGGCTGCCCCCATCACTCTGCACAGCTCCTGAAAGGGGCCTGTGCTCACCTGGGGCTGGGCTCTGTCTGCAGCAGCACTGACACAGCCAGAGCACACAGCCTCAAGCTGTGCCAAGGGAAATGCAGGCTGGATATTGGGAAAAAGCTTTCACAGAAAGAGTGATAAAGTTCTGGAATGGCTGCCCAGGGAGGTGGTGCAGTCCCCATCCCTGAGTGTGTTTAACAAAGCTTGGATGTGGCACTGGGTGCCAGGGGTGAGTTGAGCTGTTGGGGCTGGGTTGGACTCCATGATCTCGAAGGTCTCCTCCCACCTGATCATTCTGTGATTCTGTGAAGACACACACCTGCACAATTCCTTCTGTACCGACATTTGTATGATTTTGTCAAGTGCACCTGTGGCATCCCATTTTGCCATGTAGCTGTGCTCCCCCAGGCTCAAAGGGGAGCTGCACTGAGAAGCCCTCGGTGTGAGGGCACCCACCTGCTGACATTGCCATGGTGGTCCCAGCCACCATGCCCATGGTGACCCCGTTCCCTCGGGGCGGCGGGATCGGAGCAGGGTACATGGTTGCTGGCATTCCATTGGGCTGCACGACTGTGGTGTGGTGGATTACGTGGGGTGGTGCTGCATACAAAGGCTGTGTGTAGTAAGTGCCTTGCTGTTGGAAAAAAAACAGTGCATGAAGTAATTACAGTGTATCTGTAGATAAATGATAGCTTCTTTCACAAATGTATCATAAAATAGAAGTATTACTCTAAATGCAACGAATTTACAGAGCAGAAGATGAAACATTTATTGTAGCTATTAAAATTGTTTCACTTGCAATTTAACATTTTATCCCTTTTTAAGGCATTTAGGATAACAAGTGAAGTAGGGACCTTAGTAGTTCTACCATAAGGACTCATGCATCATTCATTCCCTTCCTTTTGATCCCTGTCATATATTAATCCATAACAGAACTTTTCATTATTTCACAACTTTTTGTTCAGTTGCTTTTAGTAAAAGAATCCAATGTTTTTGGCAAATCCAAGTACACTAAGCAGACTGAATAAAACTTGTTA